ACCCCATCGCGCTCGGGGTGACCCCTGCACACAAGGGAGTAACTCTCCTTCCGCGCAACAGGAAGGGGGTCCCCGCACGGAACCCGCGAGAGGGGATTCGGGAGACTTACCCTGGCGAGCTTAATGGGAGCTGCGCGACTCGCTTCCATGGCGGCTGAGGGAAGAAGGACGGGACCACGTGACCGCACGCCTTAACCCCTCCCACCAGGAGGGCGGGAGCTCTGTGGGGCTCCTCCCCTTGTAGGCGTGGCTCGGCATAGCTCGTATAGGTAGAATTCCTCTCCTTATAGGCAGGGGGGTTGTCATTGCCCCTCTCCTTATAGGCGGGGCTTTTGATAGCATTCCCCTTTATAGGCGGGGCTTGTCCCATGAATCTTCCCCTTTTAGGCGGGGCTTAGCGTGGCCCCACCTTCCGGGGGGCGGGGTTTGCGCATCGTCCATTCATCAATATCTTGGTGTTCCCTTCTCACGTTCAGCGATACACGCCTTGAATCGTCCGTATGGGAATCGACGTTCCGATTCACGCAGTAAATAAATCGCCTGCAAATAATTTGCACGCGCTGCATAGTAAAACGTAAACTCTTGTTCTTTACATGCGCGATTCCATGCATGCTTTTTTACATGCATGTTACGATAGCATCGTTATCACCAGCCGTGATTAATCCACTGCTCAATATGGGATGATAGGAGACCACGGTGCATTGATTTCGCTCGACCACTAGATGGCGATACAAGACCTTTGTACTGGGACAGTGGACAGCCCCAGCAAGTTCCATTGGTTCGCGGTTCGATTCCGGCAGGCCGACCTGGTTAATACTGCGTGACATTACAGATTATGCTCTGCATCAACATCAGCCATGCGAAAAAGGCTGAGATATATTCACACTGAGGCCTATACATCCGCAAAGAGATCTATAGATTCACACGGATGTTGAACTTCCTTTGCACCCTACATAGCCAACCGTACCGTACACTCACAGAGACCCAAAGACTCACACAGAGATCTAAAGATGAATACTGAGTCCCATACACTCACGTAGGGACCAATAGGCCCGCACAGACATCTACACTCGCGACCCAACCGTGTGGTTTATCAACCACATCAATGTCAAATGCTACAGCTGCTCCCCATCAGCGTCAGCCAGGCGAAGACTAAGATGGCCAGGTCATCCCGAATGTGTCTTCATCTCGTCTGATCAGCGTGGTTGAGTCTGGTTATCAGTGCGTGAGTGGGTGACCACCACCATCCATAGCGGGTGTTGTAGGGTTCAGGTGCTACGCGTGGTTGATAGCAGAGAAGAAGCGCAGACACATCTATTTCATAATACAGAGAGTTTTTTGGGGTTAGATCGTGTAAATATAACAGGTCCCTGCAGGGTGGGCTGGTAGGACAAGTCTCTGCGCTATCTATTGCTGATTTTACACCCAACAGCACGAGATTTCACTTCGTTAAAGTATTGAAAGGGGACGGACGGACAGACACATTAATCTATTGCAGGCTGGTACACTCAGTTTACAACTTCGTTCCTACCAGTATAAATGTGTCGTTAAACCTGTAACCACCCGACACAGCCAATTAGTAAGGTTTGTCACGTAAAGAAAACAATGGCAATTCAATCTAGATTTAAAGTTTTCGTGACTGCAGGAATCCATACTCTTTGGTTCTTTCGGTAAAGTCACGTAGGTATAAAATAAAATGCCAATTCGTTACTAGTACAGCACACCGGTGTGTTGGAGAGCAAATCCACAACAAGTACAATCTGAGTACAACATTTCGCCGGTAAGTACAACTAGCATGTTCTATTTACGCGATCTAACAAAAAAAAACCTACATTATGGATGATATTGGGTGCAAAAGCCTACGCGTTAAACATATATTGCAGATGCACGGGCAGTCCTCCACTCACGAAGCCAATTCGGTCCTGGATCCCGTTCGTAAGTTGAAACACAGTAAAGTTGAACGTGTGTTGTATTTCCATATTTAATACATGTATTTACATGTATAGACTTTCTAAGCATTTTCTCAATTTTTGCACTCCTATCGATTTGTTGTATTGGTTGCTGTTGTAGTATTGCTGATCCGCCCATACTGGACATCTGTCAAAAAGGTGCCCTCCATAAATGACGTCACGCACCTAGGGAGGGGGGGGTGAGAATGTGACGTCACATCAAAATGGGCAACTTTAAATAAATATAGACAACACGTTCTACTTAATTAAATAGACTTTTTAATAAATGTTTCTCCTACAACACCACAGTGCAGCGCCATATTAAATACACACTACAATGGCAATAGTTTAAAGCGATTTGAAGCATCTTCTTTGGTTCTTTCGGTAAAGTCACATAGAATGAGAATAAATTAATAAAATAACACAATAAAATTCTCACGACGTTTCGGCCACAACGCAAGCGGCCGAAACGTCGTGAGAATTTTATTGTGTTATTTTATTATTTTATTCTCATTCTACGTGACTTTACCGAAAGAACCAAAGAAGATTAATCCTTGCAGTCACGAAAGCTTTAAATCGAGATTTGAAGCATGTTTTATATTTTGGGGGGGGGGGGGGGCAGAGCTTTGTGACGTCATATTTGAAGGGGGTCTGACTTTTTGTGACGCCATGTGACTAGGGGGGGTAAAAAAGTCTTCCAAAATCGCGTGACGTAATTTATGGACGGCCCCAAAGAGCTTCGTGTATGCGACTGATGTCTGCGCTCATCGTGCCTTTACTGGCCCGAAATGACCCGCGTGGTGAAGTATGGCCAAATAACCACCTCCCCGCACGTGACCCACGCGTGCTTGTGTGATTTGTTACGTTTTTTTTGTTTGTTCCAAAAAAATGCGTGCGAATGCGTCTCTCCTCCCCTCTCTGTTGGAGAACAACAAGCGGTCTGTGTTCCAGCAGAGAGGAGGGGGAGCGTGAGAGAGAGAGAGACCGTGGGGAGCGTGAGCTGGGAGAGTGGAGAGGTAGAGAGGGTGCAGAGAGAGAGAGAGAGTGGAGGGGGAGCGTGAGAGAGAGAGAGACCGTGGGGGGAGTGAGCTGAGAGAGTGGAGAGGTACAGTGAGGGAAAAAAGTATTTGATCCCCTGCTGATTTTGTACGTCTGCCCACTGACAAATAAATGATCGGTCAATAATTTTAATGGTAGGTTTATTTGAACAGTGAGAGAGAATAACAACAACAAAATCCAGAAAAACGCATGTCAAAAATGTTATAAATTGAGTTGCATTTTAATGAGGGAAATAAGTATTTGACACCCTCTTAATCAGAAAGATTTCTGGCTCCCAGGTGTGTTTTATACAGGTAACGAGCTGAGATTAGGAGCACACTCTTAAAGGGAGTGCTCCTAATCTCAGCTTGTTACCTGTATAAAAGACACCTGTCCACAGAAGCAATCAATCAATCAGATTCCAAACTCTCCACCATGGCCAAGATCAAAGAGTTCTCCAAGGATGTCAGGGACAAGATTGTAGACCTACACAAGGCTGGAACGGGCTACAAGACCATTGCCAAGCAGCTTGGTGAGAAGGTGACAACAGTTGGTGCGATTCTTCGCAAATGGAAGAAACACAAAAGAACTGTCAATCTCCCTCGGCCTGGGGCTCCATGCAAGATCTCACCTCGTGGAGTTGCAATGATCATAAGAACGGTGAGGAATCAGCCCAGAACTACACGGGAGGATCTTGTCAATGATCTCAAGGCAGCTGGGACCATAGTCACCAAGAAAACAATTGGTAACACACTACGCCGTGAAGGACTGAAATGCTGCAGCGCCCGCAAGGTCCCCCTGTTCAAGAAAGCACGTATAAATGCCCGTCTGAAGTTTGCCAATGAACATGTGAATGATTCAGAGGACAACTGGGTGAAAGTGTTGTGGTCAGATGAGACCAAAATGGAGCTCTTTGGCATCAACTCATCTCGCCGTGTTTGTTTGGAGGAGGAATGCTGCCTATGACCCCAAGAACACCATTCCCACCGTCAAACATGGAGGTGGAAATATTTTGCTTTGGGGGTGTTATTCTGCTAAGGGGACAGGACGGGGCCATGTACCGTCAAATCTTGGGTGAGAATCTCCTTCCCTCACCCATGGCATTGAAAATGGGTCGTGGATGGGCATTCCAGCATGACAATTACCTAAAACACACGGCCAAGGCAACAAAGGAGTGGCTCAAGAAGAAGCACATTAAGGTCCTGGAGTGGCCTAGCCAGTCTCCAGACCTTAATCCCATAGAAAATCTGTGGAGGGAGCTGAAGGTTCGAGTTGCCAAACGTCAGCCTCGAAACCTTAATGACTTGGAGAAGATCTGCAAAGAGGAGTGGGACAAAATCCCTCCTGAGATGTGTGCAAACCTGGTGGCCAACTACAAGAAACGTCTGACCTCTGTGATTGCCAACAAGGGTCTTGCCACCAAGTACTAAGTCATGTTTTGAAGAGGGGTCAAATACTTATTTCCCTCATTAAAATGCAAATCAATTCATAACATTTTTGACATGCGTTTTTCAGGATTTTTTTGTTATGCTTTCTCTCAATGTTCAAATAAACCTACCATTAAAATTATAGATTGATAATTTCTTTGTCAGTGGGCAAACGTACAAAATCAGCAGCAGGGGATCAAATACTTTTTTCCCTCACTGTAGAAAGGGTGCAGAGAGAAAGTGTGTGTGTGGGTAGACAGAGAGCGAGAGAATGTGAAAAAAGAGAGCGAGAGGGAGAGCGAGAGAGAGAGAGCGACATGGAGTAGGAAGAGAGAAGGTAGAGAAGGAGGGGGGTAGAGAGAGGGGGTAGAGAGAGAGGGAAGGGGTAAGGAGTGCAGAGCGAGAAATCTTTGTTAAATCTATTAAAAGGGGGGAGGGGGGGTTTACATGAAGCAAAGCATTAAAAAAACGAAATGATGAACGAAGCAAAGTGCCGACTACACCGAACATCTTCTTGTTTCCTCTGATCGTAACAAAAAAAGAGAGGGAGAGCGGGGGTGGGAGAGAGACGTGAGAGAGAGGCGAAAGGAGACAGCACGCGGAAGAGGGTCGGCAGCAGAGTGAGTGGACAAGGGAGAGAGACGAGAGAGTGAGGCGAGGAAGTGTGGCGAGTGTGTAAGAGGGGAGACATCATGGAGAGTGCGGACTGCAGAGAGAGGGGAGAGTACACAGGGAGAGCGTAGCGAGAGGCGAGAGCGTGCAGAACGTATGGTTTGATAGGGGGAGGACAGGATTGAGGGTGCGGTAAGGGAGTGTGACGAGAGAGGGGAGTGAATGAGGGTGGAGTAAAGAGAGAGGGGAGGTGGGGGGAGAGCGTGCGGAGCGCAGTGCATAGGAGAGGAGGATCGTGGCGAGAGAGTGGAGAGTGCGGTGTGGCGAGGTTGTGTGGAGGGGAGATGGAGACTTGAGGAAGAGAGAGTGGGGGGCGAGCGGAGCCCCAGCGGGGGGGTGGATGCGGAGAGAGGAGAGGAGAGTGCGCAGAGGATAGGAGAGAGGCTGTCGGGGGAGGGCGTGGAAGTGTGAAGAGAGAGAGAGTAAGAGAGTGTTGCGGAGAGCGTAGAGAGTAGGTAGAGACGGGGGAGAGAGGCTGTCGACTACAGAGAGTGGAGAGAGTGTGGCGGGAAGGGCGTGGAGAGAGGGGAGGGAGCGTGCAGAGTCTAGAGGGAGTGAATAGTCGACTGGAGAGAGAGTGTGCAGAGAGTGAGGTCTATAGAGAGTTGTGTGTGTCGTGACTCTAGTCTACAGAGGGAGTGTGTGTGTGTGTGTACGAGGGGAGGGAGGAGGAGAGAGGAGGAGGGGGGCAGCCGGAGTTGGCCGCGCCCGCTCTCGGCGCTCCGCTCACAATGGCAGCCGCAGGGGAGCTCCGCGCATTCGCCATCAGACTCAACAGGTGAGGAGAGTTCGACACCTGTACAGGGCCACGCGTCTCCTTCCACTCTCCACCCTCCACTCCCTCCACTCTCTCCACTCCCTCCAATCTCTCCACTCTCTCCACTCCCTCCACTCTCTCCACTCCCTCCACTCTCTCCTCTCCCTCCACTCTCCTCTCCCTCCACTCCCTCCACTCTCCTCTCCCTCCACTCTCTCCACTCTCCTCTCCCTCCACTCTCTCCACTCTCCTCTCCCTCCACTCTCCTCTCCCATCTCCTCTACCTTCCCTCTGTACTCTCCTCTCTCACTGTGCATCCACTCTGCTCTCCCTTCACTTCATCCACTCTCCCTGAATCTCCCCTAACCCTCCCAACTCTCACGACCAGATCTAGGTGCGGCCTTTCTAATTATTATTGTCCAGAGGGTGTTGTGTGCATCTAGCGTGGCACAAGCGCTGTACGAATGCTCTTGTCACATGCGGATGCTGATTCATTCCACTGCTTTTGCTGAAGGAAAGGAAGTTTCTGTTGATGATGTGGTTACGACTGCTCCTGTTAGATTAATATGATCCAGCTGCTGCTGATGATGCTACTGGGAGTTTATTTCTACCATTGATGATTGTACTGCTACTTCTGCTTCTGATAATGATTATTCTGCTGCTGCTGATTACTATTATACAATTTTTACTGCTGCTGATTTTGATACTGCGGCTGCTGTTGATGATCCTGAACATTATTCTTCTGCTGCTGATTACTGTTAAACAAATACTACTACTACTGATGACTCATTCTGCAACAAACACTGCTGCTGCTGATAATTCAACTGCTGCCGACGGCAATGATAATTTAATCCTCCTGAAGATTTAAAAACTGCTGCTACTGTTGCTGATGATGATAAGAAGTAAATAGTTGCTGATGACTCTACAACTGCTACTGCTGCAAATGTCATGGTCAGTTTGCAGTTTCCCTCTGGACTGTAAACCCATCCCGGGTGTTGTCACAATGGCCATGTGCTCCCCAACGCCGCTCCGTGGTTATCAAAGTTCTCGTTTACGTGCCCACAAAGCCCGTGCCACGTCCATTACCGCACTGCCGATTAAGCAACGGTTGGATACGTACGGTGCGAAAGAAGTTCAACATCTTATATATTTCTAGAGCGATTTTATCCAAGACGCTTGACAAGGGTTATGAGTGGTACAATTCGGGTAGCTAATAGGGATGGGGCATGGGGAGTGAGGTTCGTGGGTACGGGAATTACAGGGGTACCTAGGGATGGCCATTATGAACCCACGCTAGCATTTCCAACGTCTGGGTCGATGGAGGGTGGGAGGGTGGTGGTTATTTGGGGTTGGTGGCTCACACAGAGATGGGAGACCCAGGTTATTTGACAGAAACACAAGTATATTTCCTGTCGAGAGACAAATATGGGAAGGAGATGTTTTACCTGCTGTGTTATTTATATTCTCCACAACGAAGGCGCAATGATTATATTGTGCTATTTATCGTGGAATTTTGTGTCACATTTTAACCAGAGAGGGTCTTTGCCAACAAACATCTGGCAGTTCACACAAACATTGATCCATGCAAGCCTGACTGCCGACGAGACAGTGGCTGTCGAAACGTGTCCATATTTTGCTTGCGTTGAACCACTGCTGCTCATGCGAAGCCCTCCCAGCAGATTGCGCAGCTGATGAGATGAATAAAGATAAGAAGAGTCCTCTTTATGTGGAGCGAGACGTATGGGACGGAGGCGTATTGTCTGCCTCTCGAATTTTGTGACTGCGATACAGCGTACCATCATGGCACAATCGACTTCGTCGTTTATTTTTGGCCATATATATTTTTTGGTCTGATGGTGGTGGTTGATCATCGCTAGATGAATTTTAAGAAAATATGACTGTACTTATTCATTTCCTGACAAAATGTCTAGGACGTAACAAATGCAACGCTTTAAGCGACAAAACGACAGCTTTCGTCCGTGAACTTTCACGCTTTGCAACACCAACAAAGGCATTTCAATTGTATCGATTTATTGCCGGTTACTTGTGACGTCGTCATTTCCGCAATTGATCGGCATCGTTAATAATTAATTACGTGACTGACAGCGTGTGAGCGTGAAAAGAGTGCGACTAGCAGCTTCGTGTGTGTTATAAGCGTGACACATTGAGTGACTGAGATCTTCGTGTGTGTTATACGCGTGACACATTGTGTGACTGAGATCTTCGTGTGTGTTATACGCGTGACACATTGTGTGACTGAGATCTTCGTGTGTGTTATACGCGTGACACATTGTGTCACTGAGATCTTCGTGTGTGTTATACGCGTGACACGTTGTGTGACTAGCAGCTTAGTGTGTGTTATACGCGTGACACATTGTGTGACTAGCAGGTTCGTGTGTGTTATACGCGTGACACATTGTGTGACTAGCAGCTTAGTGTGTGTTATACGCGTGACACATTGTGTGACTAGCAGGTTCGTGTGTGTTATACGCGTGACACATTGTGTGACTAGCAGCTTCGTGTGTGTGTTATACGCGTGACACATTGTGTGACTGAGAGCTTCGTGTGTTATACGCGTGACACATTGTGTGAATAGCAGCTTCGTGTGTGTTATACGCGTGACACATTGTGTGACTAGCAGGTTCGTGTGTGTTATACGCGTGACACATTGTGTGAATAGCAGCTTCGTGTGTTATACACGTGACACATTGTGTGACTAGCAGCTTCGTGTGTGTTATACGCGTGACATGTTGTGTGACTGAGATCTTCGTCTGTGTTATACACGTGACACGTTTTGTGACTAACAGCTTCGTGTGTTATACGCATGACACATTGTGTGACTAGCAGCTTCGTGTGTGTTATACACGTGACACGTTTTGTGACTAGCAGCTTCGTGTGTTATACACGTGACACATTGTGTGACTAGCAGGTTCGTGTGTGTTATACACGTGACACATTGTGTGACTAGCAGGTTCGTGTGTGTTATACGCGTGACACGTTGTGTGACTAGCAGCTTAGTGTGTGTTATACACGTGACACATTGTGTGACTAGCAGCTTCGTGTGTGTTATACGTGTGACACATTGTGTGACTGAGAGCTTCGTGTGTTATACGCGTGACACATTGTGTGAATAGCAGCTTCGTGTGTGTTATACGCGTGACACATTGTGTGACTAGCAGGTTCGTGTGTGTTATACGTGTGACACATTGTGTCACTAGCAGCTTCGTGTGTGTTATACGTGTGACACATTGTGTGACTGAGAGCTTCGTGTGTTATACGCGTGACACATTGTGTGACTAGCAGCTTCGTGTGATATACGCGTGACACATTGTGTGACTAGCAGCTTCGTGTGTTCTACGCGTGACACATTGTGTGACTAGCAGCTTCGTGTGTTATACGTGTGACACATTGTGTGACTAGCAGCTTCGTGTGTTATACGCGTGACACATTGTGTGACTGGCAGCTTCGTGTGTGTTATACGTGTGACACATTGTGTGACTAGCAGCTTCGTGTGTTCTACGCGTGACACGTTGTGTGACTGACAGCTTCGTGTGTGTTATACGTGTGACACATTGTGTGACTAGCAGCTTCGTGTGTTATACGTGTGACACATTGTGTGACTAGCAGCTTCGCGTGTGTTATACGAGTGACACGTTGTGTGACTGACAGCTTCGTGTGTTATACGCGTGACACATTGTGTGACTAGCAGCTTCGTGTGATATACGCGTGACACATTGTGTGACTAGCAGCTTCGTGTGTTCTACGCGTGACACATTGTGTGACTAGCAGCTTCGTGTGTTATACGTGTGACACATTGTGTGACTGAGAGCTTCGTGTGTTATACGTGTGACACATTGTGTGACTAGCAGCTTAGTGTGTGTTATACGAGTGACACGTTGTGTGACTGACAGCTTCGTGTGTTATACGCGTGACATGTTGTGTGACTGAGAGCTTCGTGTGTGTTATACGTGTGACACATTGTGTGACTAGCAGCTTCGTGTGTGTTATACACGTGACACATTGTGTGATTAGCAGCTTCGTGTGTGTTATACACGTGACACATTGTGTGACTAGCAGCTTAGTGCGTGTTATACACGTGACACATTGTGTGACTGAGAGCAAGCTGTTGCGTTCTGAGCGTTGCAGATTAAACTTGGAATGATTCGAACGTCAGGTGACAACATGGGAAAGCTTCAACTCTCACTGGAAGTACAGCGGAGCAATTAATACAATCCAACGACACTGCGAAATACATTCACGAAGCGATGGGGCCAACGTTAATATCGTATCGTCTAATATTGTGTCGTTTAACCCCAGGGGGTGATGGTTGGTGCATGGACACCAACCATCATCCCCTCCCCCAACAGCACACAATGGAATAGTCCATCATAAATAAACCATCACTTTTGTAATTGATTGTCCATTGGCCATACAGTCATGGTTCCTGACTAGTTTCCTGTGTGTGTGTTGAGTGGTATAGGCTATATGTGTTGTATGTTTGCGTGTAGAACGGCTGGGCGTTGTCCTGGCCACCCACCCCCTCGTGTGCCGTGCCGGTCTTGATACAGTGAGGGAAAAAAGTATTTGATCCCCTGCTGATTTTGTACGTTTGCTCACTGACAAAGAAATGATCAGTCTATAATTTTAATGGTAGGTTTATTTGAAAGGTGAGAGACAGAATAACAACAAGAAAATCCAGAAAAAACGCATGTAAAAAATGTTATAAATTGCTTTGCATTTTAATGAGGGAAATAAGTATTTGACCCCCTCTCAATCAGAAAGATTTCTGGCTCCCAGGTGTCTTTTATACGGGGAACGAGCTGAGATTAGGAGCACACTCTTAAAGGGAGTGCTCCTAATCTCAGCTTGTTACCTGTATAAAAGACACCTGTCCACAGAAGCAATCAATCAATCAGATTCCAAACTTTCCACCATGGCCAAGACCAAAGAGCTCTCCAAGCATGTCAGGGACAAGATTGTAGACCTACACAAGGCTGGAATGGGCTATAAGATCATTGCCA